CCCCAAAACCCCAAAACCCCAAAACCCCAAAACCCCAATACTATAAAACAGAATTGAAATAATTAATTTGAACAACAAGATGGCTAAAACAGTATGAGATATCAGAATCCTGATGAGTGACTCAGACGGAATCTTCTATGATGAAACCGTCCAGTCAGTCGAGATTAATAAAGATTTTTCTCAAAAGGGTCTTGAAAATGATAATATACTCCACAACCTTAAATCAATCATACCAAAAATCAAATAAAAATATTCCAGGCCATTTGAATGATGAGAACGAGTATTTAGGTAAAGCTCATTGCTTCTTGGACAACATCTCTAAATTATTATCTTTAAGCAGTCTAAAGAGTGTACATGGCAGCAATATTAACAGAATTTCGTCAGTATGCTAATATCTTAATGCTGGCTAATTTAATATCTACGAAAATCTGCTAAAAATTATAACTCGCCCCTCAGTTGCTTGTTTAAGCTCAGCTATCTTGACTAAACTCGACTTTCCTTTATTCTTTTTCCCTTTCGAAAAATCAAAAATGTAAAGCTTGGTAATTCTTCTTAAGACTAATGTTGGTTCTTGTCTGGAGAAAAATACCGTTTCATTCCCATTTAGTTCTTAAATATGGTCTAATGCTTGTTTGTATAGTATCCTACTTCTCAAAGAGCCTTAATACCTTTATCTACACTGGGCAGTACCCTGAGCTAGATGTAAACAGCGCTCGGGTCACACACGAGGATCTAGACCCTGAGCTCTGGATAAAATTTAGAATAAAGTCAATTCCTCTAGTTGACGAAGAAGCTCTCAATGAGAAATCAAGAATGGAAAGAAAGGATGTCCACAGAAGGACCAAGGAAAGGAAAATAGGCGACGTCGGTAAGCCCCCTGCCTTATGAGATCTTTCCTCTGTGCTGTAAAGCACATATACTTTTCCTTTTTATAACGGATTGACGTAATCTTTGCCAACTCAGCAATTATATCTTTTCTATAGTTACAAAAGTCATCGAATGGAGAAAGCTTTATAATAGTGGTGAGGAGTTCAAAGGAAAGAAGTACTCACTAGACACAGCAGCAAAGGCTGTGGGTATGAGCAAGAAGTCTTTGGATGATTACTTACTCCAGATTCGCAATGCCAGAAAGTTTGGGTTCAATTTTAATGAGCACAAAGATGATAAGATTGGTATCTTAAGAGCATTTAACAAGAAGTTTAAGATTTATTGAAAGAAGGGGAAGCCTGGCAGAAAGCCCAAGAGAAAAACCGATTAACTTTTTTAGCTTTTCTTTCTGAGACTTTATTCAACCAATCTTATATCAAATGGGGTTTTGGGGTTTTGGGGTTTTGGGGTTTTGGGGTTTTGGGG